ACTTACTGATCAACTTACTGGCCAAATTTAATATTATAAAAAGGGTGAGTTTTCTCTTCACCCCAAGAGAGAGATTGAGATAGTTTCCAAATAAGATTCGAATAATTCTAAATAGTGAAATTTAGAAAGTAATCTCAACTGTAATTTTTATAATCTTAAAGTAATTGAATTATTGATTTTCTTCATAATAAACTTATACTTTTAATATTAAAACTCTGTTTCTTTATTAATTTATATTCTTTGAATATAAATTCTGATCCATAAATTTCTGTTACTATTTTATAAACCATTAATAAATATATTTAATTCTTTGTCTTAACTTCTTAAATTGACTTTTAAAATTAAATCATTAGTCAATAGTTTAAAACCCCGTGACCTTAAATTCTTACATCTTTTAGTTAGTTTTAGTATTTAACTTTAATATTTCTTTTATTCTTCATCGATTATCCTTTTCAATTCGTAAACTAAAGTAACTGTTTATGAGTTGCTAGTTGTAAATTGCCTTTTGGAAAATAAAATTAGCCCAAAAGGTCGACTAGTAACAGTACTAAAAAGGCCAGAAAAGTGTAAACCCCAAAGGTGAAAAAGTAAGGAACACAAAATAGGAAGTCTGCTCGCGCTCCCTGCTGCTTATATGCTGAACAAAAATAAAACATAAATTTTAAAAGGTACATTTATTTGAATTCTAAATAAAGAAGTATTAAAAATAATAAAGTGGGATAAGAAAATTATCCTAATTTATGATTTTAATATCTCAGATTAAGATGATGATAATAATAATAATGTCAATAATGATAATGATAATGATAATGATAATAATGATAATGATAAAGCAAAAACTAATAGTAGAAAAAGAAAAAGAAAAGGAAGAGGAAAAGAAAAAGAAAAAGAAAGAAAAAAGAAAAAATCTAAAAAAAAATAAAAAAATAATTAGATAGATTTAAATGTGAACATTAAAAATATTTTATATAGTATAAATAGTATAATTAATAATATATAATATGTATAATGTTTTTATTTTATATTTTTTATTAATAAATAATATATTTCATTTATATTTTATAATAATAAACTAAAATATGATTATCAGTAATAAAAAAAGAAAAATGGATAAATAAAAGTTATCAATAGATATTTGATAATAAGAAAAAAGTACCTAATATTGAGGAATATATGGTGACCGATATATACTTGATATATTATATCAATATATAGAAGATATGTACTTGATAAAAAACAAATAAAATTAGGTACTTAATAAGTATATGATAGATTTGAAAAAAATATTAAAAAATCAGAGTTCGATATGTATCTAATATCTGTTAATATGTGTTTGAACTTTAACATGCTGTTACCATAAGTTTTCTTCATTCTAATAATTATCTTAATATTTTATTTTATTTCTCATTTGTATTATTTTATTAATATAATTATTTAGTATATTTTAATCATTACATCAGAAAATTTAATTAGGTATAGATTTACAGAAATATCACATGACCTTCAGAAATTTATATCTGAAAAATTTAATTTTTTAATTTTGATCAAGATTTAGGTGACAGGGAGTGATTTTCTACCAAGATATTTCTAAGATAGATTAAAAGTTCCAGTTTTTGATTACAAGATGATATATGTTTCATTACTATAGTATCGATATTCGTAAAGAAATTTATATTTAAATTCAAATGTCCATGAAAATTTGTGCCATAATTTTTTCATAAATTTTTGTAATTCTATTGAAAATTTTTTATTACATTACAAAAATTTCCAACAGAATTATGAAAATTTACGGAAAAATTATGGCCCAAATTTTCACAGACGTTTAAATTTAAATATAAATTTTTTCACGAATATTGATGTTATAGTAATAAAACATATATCATCTTGTAGTCAAAAACCAGAACTTTCGATCTATCTTAGAAATATTTTAGTAGAAAATCACTCTCTGTCACCTAAATCTCGGCCAAAATTAAAAAATTAAATTTTTCAGACATAAATTTCTGGAGGTCATATGATATTTCCATAAATCTATACTTAATTAAATTTTCTGATGCTAGCTACAATTAGTATTTATTTATTTATTAGAATAATACGAATCATATAAATCAATAATATAGATCATAGTGATCTAGTTACTAACCAATTTACTAATCAACTGATTAACTAATTTAATGATTAACTGATTGACACAATTATTGGTCAAGATTTTAACCAACTTACTGATCAACTTACTAGTCAAATAATTAAATATTATAAAAAGGGTGAGTTTTCTCTTCACCTCAAGAAAAATTCAAATAGTTTTCAAATAAGATTCAAATAATTCTAAATAGTAAAATTTAGAAAGTAATCTCAACTGTAATTAATTCTATTAAATTAATATTTTTATAATTCTAAAGTAATTGGATTATTGATTTTCTTTGTAATAAATTTACACTGGTCGAAAATTGATAAAACATATACATATCGGATACTCGATATGTGCATAGTGTGTTCCTAATATCGGGCATATATCGGGTACCCGATATATATATAAAATATTTTCTACACTTATCGGGTACCTGATATATACTTGATATTAGGGACACACCATGCATATATCGGGTATCCGATATATGTATGTTTTATTAATTTTCGACCAGTGTTATATTTCTTATATTAAAACTTCTGTTATTTTATAAATCATTGATAAATATATTTAATCCTTATTTTAATTTCTTAAATTGACCTTTAAAATTTAATTATTAATCAATATTTAAAACCTGTGATAATAAATTTTTAAATTTTTTAATTAGTTTTTAGTATTTAACTTAATATTTCTTTTATTCTTCTATTATCTTCTTCAATTCATAAACTAAAGTAACTGTTTACAAGTTGTTAATTATAAATTGCCTTTTGAAAAATAAAATTAATTCAAAAGGTAACAATACTCATCTTACTATACTTGCACGCAAAATTATTTTGAAACTTTAAAATTACAATTTCGGAAAAAAAAGTTGAAATAGTTTTTCATAGAAGATAAAATTATTTTACTTAAAATCTGAAATTTTTTGACCATCCAGATTTATTCTTTGATTGAATATATATATAACTGGATACTTTTTTTACTTCTATATATAGAATAGATTCTGTATAAATTTCAAAAAGTCAAAATACCTCAAAAATTCAAAATCAATTTTGGAAACATATATATACTTTATTTATTGGAAGTCCAATATATTAAAATTTATTGAAAATCGGATACTTATTACATACCTATTAGACACTTGATAGGTATATGATAGGTGTTGATTTTCCACAATTTGACCAGTAGATGTTTACTAGAGAAACAGGAACTGTTATAAGTCTGAAGCTAAATTGTTTGATATAATTATATATTAATTTAATTGAATACATATGACATTAGTCAAAAATTTATAAATACTACACCTATCTGGTATTTAATAGGTGTAAGAGTAATATATATGTTCATATACATATCAGATACTTGATAGGTATATTGAATACCTGATAAATGTAGTAAAATATTTTTACACTTATCAGATATCTGATAAGTGTATAAATATCTACATTACTCTTACATTTATTAAGTACCCGATAGGTATGATATTTATAAATTTTTGACTAATGTGATTATGTAGGCAATTATTTTTACACTTATTTTTACTTATTTTTAAATAATGTAATGAAACTAAATATGACAAATCATGTGAACATTGAATATTTAATTAAAAAATAATGTATTAAAATAATCATATAGTGTAAAAAGTCTAAAAACATTCAATAATTTGATTTTTTTTTAAATGTAAAGGCTTCTTTATATGGATCTTAAATGTAAAAAAGAATATGTAATTTAATAGTTTTTAAAAGTATTTTTTTTAATATTTTTTATTGAGAAGATATGATTTTAAATAAAGCATTTTTAAAAATGAATTCATATAAAAATGATCAAATCTGACCAATCATATTCAATGTTATAAGTAAGCACTAAATAATATTATACGTAAGTGATCACGTGGTATGCAGACGGACAAATTTTTGCTAAGGCCTCTAGTCATACCTGAAAATGTAAGTCCGCTCCGGACAATAAAATTTGTAAAAATTAATTTAAATAAATATTAATAGTTTCTACATAGGTAATTCTTTCACTTACTAATTAAACATCAAAAATGCTATTAATAAATCTTAATGCTATTAAGAAATCTTAAAGCTAATAATAAATTAAATAGACTGTAAAGTTTACACGCCTATTACTTTAAAATTGACCAAATAATATTTTAAATTTTCAAAAATTATAGTTTAAGCACTTATTATTCGATTAAGTTTAAAGTAATAGTGGCGTAAATTTTACAGCTGATGAATTACATTCCTAACTTTAAGGTTCGTTAATAGAATTTTTTAATGTTTAATTATCAAGTAAAAGAACCATCTATGTAGCGACGATCGACATTAATTTTCGAAATTTTAAAAATAAATTTTTTATAATTAAAATTTTTTATTAAATATTAATCATCTATGAAAAATGCCAAAATGATTGGTCGATATTTAAAGAAATTATTTAAGATTTACACTAAATTTTATAAATTGCGGGCAAATTTGCCCGCAAAACCGTTTAAAGGATAGAATTATTCTCCTAATAAAGAACCATTGCATCGGGACATATATTGCTTTAATACTTAATGACCCGAATCACAATCAAACTTTTACAGACGAGTATAGACGTTTACATCCTGTACTTTAAGGACGATAATAAAGAATAAATTATTCATAAATAGATTTTTTTTAAAAATTTTTCTTCGGGATTTGCATTTTAACTTTATGTAAGATATTCTGGAGTTATTAAATAGATTTAGTATAGTAATGTTTGAATCATTGCGCCCATTGTATTATAGTTTTTAATATTGCCATTTCTAGTAACAATGACAAACACGCAGTTAAAACTCGGATATAAAGTTATTTTTTTTTTAAATTCTCCTTAATTTCTGTTTTCAATATCAGATAGGATGTCTGGTAATTCTAGAAATTCCAGAGGGCGCCAAAACAATCAAAACATTTCACTGAATAATAATAATAGGAATCCTCGTAGAAAACCATCTGTGCAACCTAGCGCTGAAGAAATTAAACAAATTCAAAATGACCAACGCCAGAGTATATCTGAGAATTTTTCATCATCAGAATTAACATATGGAGGAAGCGATAAAATAATACAAATTCCTCTCGGAATTGAATTTGATAGAATGTGGAAAAGAATGATAAAAAAGGAACTGAAAAATCAACATATGATGAGACGTTTTATATGTTCATGCCTTGTAACTGCAGATAAAGAAGTAGGAGACGAAGTCGAAGGATTAGTTGCTGATTTGGGATCTCCAGAAGGAATGTCCCGAATCAGAGAGATTGTAATGTTTGAAATGTCTGTTGATGCAGGATTAAGATCAGGTGTCGCGTCATTTCAACGTGTAATTTTGCCTTTCTTGGCTCTATTAACACGCAAGGCAATTTCAAATTGTACCCTTGAGCGGTACCTTAATGCCTTTTATTCAGTTGTACATACTAACTTGGTAATTTTTTATTTTTATTTTTTTTTTACCAACTTATTCATTTTTTTATTTTAATTTTAATTATGTAATTTAATTTTGATCTTAATTATAAAGGAACCCTTTGTAAATAATGGTGTGATTAATAATCTTGAAATATTGGTTCGCCGTAATAATATTGAAGATCAACAAACCAATAAAACTGAATTGATCAAAGATGATAAAAATTCATTCATTCCCACCTCGCAAGTATAAATTTCAATAAATTTATGCATTAACAATATGTAATCTTTTATAACTTAACCATTACCTTTTTTTTTATAGATTCGGTCAATTTTTTTTAGTTATTGTGCGTTTAGTAAATGAACTTTTGAAACGATTTAAAAATGCATCAATAGAAGAAACAATGATCAATATTGGTGAAAAGCTTGAAAGATTAAAAAATGAATGGAAAGATTCATTTGATAATCCCACTGCAGAATTACCTTCTGATCCACTTGCAACAAATGATATTCAAAAACAATACTTTTTCTTAGTTTTGGATAAAGAATTCGATCGCATGAATGGCATGTTACATAAAAAAAAAATAGTTAGAAATGTTAATCATTCGAGAGAAGCGACATCTGAGAAAAGATATTATGATAAAATTGCGCGCGATATAGATCTAGTAAGAATTTATGATCCTCCAGGTATAGTTTCACTTCCATTTTATATAATACTGTTTATTAAAGTAAATCATTAAGATGTGGTTTATTATATTCCAAAAGGTGAACTTTCGGAAAACGGGCCACGTCACAATAATGATTTTTCGGAAATATCTAAGATTTCCATTATCCCTACTACGGATGAAATTCTATGCAAACGGGAACCCTATTTGCCCAATATAAGTGGAAATGATAAGTTGCATCATCTTCCTAGAGGTGCTGCTCGTTTATTAGATAGACAATTTCGATTGCTACGAGAAGACATGTTGAACGCTTTCCGAACAAGTATTAATAGTTTTTTAAAGCTTATTGGAGAACCAAATAAGAATAGAGAAAAGATTGAAAAATATAAAAAGAGTGGAGGAAGATATAAAAGTGAAAATTCTGATGGGGGTGATTTGAACGTGTATCCAAATATTCACTTTACCGAAGTTATTGCGGATAAAAATAATGGTTTTTATTTTCGCGTTGCATTTACTCCACCATCCACGAGAATGTCCACTAAATCTGTAACAGATCGCAAAATGTATTGGCAAAAAGCAAAAAAACTTGGATATGGGAATTTAGTTTGTCTTCTTTGGCCAAATGAAGATATTCATAACTACGTGGGAAATTCAAATTCGGCTATTTCATCAAAATATTCGATATATTTTGGCACTATTGCACATAGAGATGAAAATATTTTGGCAAAAAATCAAGAATTTGCTGAAATTGGTATCAACTTTATTGACGCTTCATTATATACGACTGCCATGAAAGATATTTCATTTAGACATAAAAATAAAAACAAAAGAGATATTGGCTATAGGTTTTTGGTTGAGTCAACGGATCTTCTTTTTGAAAGTTTTAAAATTATATTGAAAACATTGCAAGAAACTGAACCTTCAGATGTTCCCTTCGAAAAATATCTTGCTCCACAATTTGAATATATATCAAATGAACCAGCTTTTGTGGAGCCACCTATATATGCAAGAGCACCAGGTTTTAGATTTAATGTAAGTTTTTTTTTAAAACCGTTATCATCTTTAATAGAGAACAAGCATTTTCTTACAAATTATATTATATTATTTTTTATTTTTATTTTTATAAACAGCTTTCTACTTTACTTTATTCGCATGCAAGAAATCAAGACGTTTATTTAAATGTTAATGACCGACGGTCCCATAATAACGTTATAAGAAGTCTTGTAAGTCATAGTACGCTTGATGCGACGCAAGGTAAAATTAATGTTATTTATTTATGTTACATTTCGTTTTTGTGTAGACTTGTTTTTTTTTCGACCGACAATTTTTTATAACTTTTAAATAGCTAAAGCGCTTGTATCATCTTTATGCCGTGAAATTGCATTGATTGAAGGTGAGGACTTACAAATGTTATTATTTAATTTATATATTTATTTATTCATTTGTAAAAATTTTCTTCTTTTGACGATTGGAATTATTTAGGACCACCAGGAACAGGAAAATCATATATTGGCGTCGGAATAATGCGAGCATTGTTAGCTCCTGAAAACCGCCGAGCGACAAGCATTGGACCCATTCTGACAATATGTTATACTAACCATGCGTTAGACAACTTTCTTAAAGGTCCTTATTTTATTCTTTTTTTTTTAATTCAATTTTCGATAATTATTATGATGATTATTTATTATAACTGATTTTAAATTATCTTATTTTCGATATAGATCTCTTAGATGTTGGTATAGATAATATTGTACGAATAGGTTCGAATTCTAGATCTGAAACTTTTCGCCAATTTAATCTTGAAGTAATATGTCGAAATCGACAACGTCAAAATAAGTGGTTAATAGGAAAGGCCTATCATGATCTTGATGGAATTATAAATAGTGCATTAACTTTTAATAAACAATTAACGAATAGATCCTTAGATTTGGAACAGTCCAGTGTGGCCTTGTATTTTGATTTAAATTATCCTGATCACCATCGTAATTTAAAGCACCCTGAAATTCCAGATTTCCTGTTGGATAATGTTAATAATGGTGACGAATGGAAAACGGCTAACGGAAAAAACAAAACAAAAACAACTTCAATAATTGAGCAATGGTTGAATGGAGACGATTTGACAGCGGCAAGAAAATTGAAGGAATCCCTTATGAATCCAAGTAAAAAATCGAAGAAGGAAGGAAAAAAGGAAGAAAAGGCAGAGACAAATAGATTTATGGTGCTCGATGATGATGCGACAAATGAATTTATGCCGCTCGATAATTTATTTACAGAAGATCCAAACACATTTCTTAAGAATTGGATTCGAACTTGGCAAATGCCAAACACAAAGAGGAGTTTAGAAGAATTAAAGGTATTGAATTGAATTAAATAAGTGTATTCTTTGTTAATAATTTAATTTATTTTATTTATTGTATTATTATTTTTTGTAATAAGTTCGATTGTAATGTATGGAGAATGTCCAAAGAAGAACGTATAAAGTTACATGATTTTTGGAGGGAAGAAATTAATTCTGAAACTATCGAGGAACTTTCGGATATTCAGGAAAGATATGTAAAAAAGAAAAAAGAAATTGAAGATGTTTATAATGAAGGTTAATACTTTGTATATCATTTATTTTTTTTTTTTTTTCATTATTGGATATTCGTTATTAAATTATACATTTATTATTCAAGGTCGACGTCAAGTTCTGCTTAAAAGTGATGTCATCGGAATGACGACTACAGGCGCAGCTAAATATCATGAACTTATAAAGTGAGAATTACTAGAATTTTGAAAAATTCGAAGATGAGTGAAAATAATCAAATAATTGTTCTTTTATATTTAGATCAATTGAGCCGAAAATCATTATTTGTGAAGAAGCAGGTAAATTCATTAAATTTCTAAGTGAATATTATAATAATGAAATATTTCTCATATTCTTTCACGCGTTTATTAGGTGAAGTGCTTGAAGCACATATTCTTACTAGCTTGACAAAAAGCACGCAACATTTAATTCTTATTGGGGACCATAATCAATTACGCCCTAAAATCTGTAATTATCTTATTTCATTTATTTTTTTTTTTCATTTATTGATGAATTTATTCGATTCCTTTTTTATTGATTCGTTATTTCATTAAAATTTATTAAATTTTCATAGGCACGGTTAGTATTTTATTTTATAAAATATATTTATCAAATTAATTACGCTAATCTTTTCCTTTTCACAGTATTCTTTATCCTGTGATTCCATAATAGGAAAAAATTATGGATTGAATATTAGTTTATTTGAACGTCTTGTACATGGAAACCAGTCAATGCGTTTAGAAAGAACTCAACTTTTAACCCAAAGACGTATGAGAAATGAGATTTCTGATTTAATTAGAAAAACACTTGACTTTTATTCGGAATTGGAAGATCATCCATGTACGAATTACCCTAATGTCAAAGGGATGCAACATAATGTATTTTTTATGCATCATTCTAATCCTGAGGATTCGGTAAAAAATGAATTCGCTGTTCAATCACATTCAAATAAATTCGAAGTTGAAATGGTAGTAGAAATGGTTAAGGTAATTAACAATTATTTTATTATCATTATCATTATTATTATTATTATTATTATTATTATTATTATTATTATTATTATTATTATTATTATTATTATTATTAT